ATATAACTTGATGAATTTTAAAGATATATTAATGATTTAATATTCAAAAGAAAGCTTATGATCTAAGCTTTCTTTTAAATATTAAATTATTAAGATATCTTTAAAATTTATCGAAATATAAGTTATAAAATTTAAAATATTAATTTTTTTCAAATGTAGATTTGTTTGATTTTTATTGATAGCAGCCCATATATTTGTTTGACTTAACTAGCAATAATATATTTTATTATTAAAATATTTGATATTTGGTTAAGCCAAGCAAGCATATTACAGTATATTTATGTAAAATTTTACATAGTTAACCAATTGTTTTTTAACAATATTTCAGCTACTACTAAACTAATTTTGATAATCTTACTGCTGTTAGAATTATCTCAATAAGCTCAACAATTATCTCTTAAGCATAAAGAGCAATTAACTTAGTAAGAAAAAAGATTTTCTTGAATGAATGGCAGATTCTAGGTATATGTAATTTATATAGTAATCTGTATTACATTACACTAAGATCATTCTTCTGTTGAGTAGCAAATTATCAATTAATATAAATCAAAAAATGCTATCTAGCCTTTCTAATGTACAAATAATAAAATATAATACTGTAATAAGTAAACACATTCAATTTTGATTTTTTTTAATATCTAACAATTTTTTTTCTTTACTATTAGTGAATATAATTAAAATATTTGAATTATACCAGAATTTCTTTTTATAAACATTATTTTACTTACTAAATTAAGATTTAGTTAGGTATATTTAGCAGTAATATAATATACTTGCATGCAAAAATATTCTTTAGAAGATGTAGAAATAGCTAAATATTTTCTAGCTAAAAATCTCTACCAACCTCTTCTTTTCACAATTCAAAATACTAAATATATCTGATTCTTATTCTTTACTGAATAAACTTGCTATTTTCTATTAAACTCAATACCAAAAAACTTCAAACACTTCATTCCTTATTAAATACAATATTTCTAACAAAAATTTCTTTATTTTTAAAACAACAAACTTCAATTTAAATATTATCACTATAACTTATCTTGAATTTTAAAATTTAACAAAAATTTTTACTATCTTTTATTTATATTATATTATACAACCAACTTATTTTTACAATTTTTATTATACTTAATTATTTTATCTATATCTACATATATTAGCATAAATAATTAACTTCTGCATTATTATATTCAAACAAATTACCTTTTATTTATACTTTATAGATCCTTTATAAAGTACTTATACAACCTAGGTTAAAACTTACCTAAATTTGTATAAGTACAAACAAATCTAGGTGGTTTTAACCACTCTAATAGGTTTAAGTTGCAGATAAATTAGAATTAATAGTTTCTGATAGTCTGAGTCTCATTCTTGCAAAAATTTTTGTAACTTGGCTCTGGCCGGAGGAACCCCTAGTGGATTCTCAATACAAAAAATTAATAAAGATAAAGGCAAAACCCCACCTTAAAAAAAAAAATAATAATAAATAAAAAAATAATAATTGTATAGTACTTGCTAAAGGGTTTTTTGTTAGGACGTAAAAGATTGGTTTATAAGTGAATTATTGAGGTACTTTTTTGAGTTATGTTATACTTGAATTCGTGATCTAAAGCAATAAATAGCAAATCTCAATGTTTTTCGTTAAAATTGGAATCTAAAATAATAAAATCATCTTCCTGCGAAGAAGAATTAAATTGATTCAGTTTATCTTTTGAAAAGTCTTTTAAGTTTGTAGGTTTTGAACCAATTACGCGTTTTATAAGTTTGTATAAGCTCAAAGTATTTACGGGATTGTTTAAGGATTCAGATTCTTGTTTAGTTATATTTATATCAGCATCTTTAAAAATTTTTTTTATATAAAAATTATTTTTTACCCAACTGTCTAAATATCCCTGAAGCTCACTTGCTGAAGGGCGTTCAGATGCATTTGCACTCATGCAGTGATTGGTTAATTCAACATAAATTTGTGGTATTTCTTTTGCAAATATTGGACGGAGACCATTACAAATTTCTTTAATTAGATCGTCATCATTTTCTCTTCGATCAGAATATAAAGGTTTTCCCGATGAAATTTCCCACATTATTATACCAAATGAATAGATATCAGATGCCATTGTATATGGTTCTCCGATTAAAACTTCTGGTGCAATATACGGCAAAACTCCGTAGACTACACTAGTTTTCGGCATATTGACTAATCTTAAAAGACCTAAATCTGCAATATATGCATCTTTCAGACTATTTTGTAATATATTACCACTATGTAAATCCCGATGA